CTTGTATAGGTGTTTCTGTGTAGTGGGAGGGTTTGTGGTCTTAGGGCATCTTATGGGCAGTTGTAGTGTTGGCATCTATTGTCAGCTCTAGTCTTTTCTACACTTTAGGCTGGACTGGGGCCTGTCACGATCCGGTATTCAGGTACGTGGCAATTTTAATAAATAAAGGTGATCCCAAATGGTGAAATTAAGACACAAACGAGGTCAGATGTCACACACACAACAAACTTCTATTGCAATAACACAACAAAAGTCCCTAGAGCGGATAGGACAGGCAGGAAAACAGAGACAGGAAAGAGAGGAGAAAGCAGAGATAGAGGACAGCAAGCGAGAGCACAGTTACCACCCACGGTCCAGCGATGTCGTCGGTGGGGAAGTAGTTCCAGGTGGAGAAGTGCTTCAATGCACCCACAGAGTCCCAGATTTTTATACAGTCCTTGCCCACTGCACCCCCACTTCTCTCCCTGCATAGGGAAAAACCCTTTGGATCTTCTCTGTGATAGCAGGGGCAGGTATGATGCCAGGGGCTATGTAGTCTTTGTTTGGTTAATTGATGAGATCAGCCATTACAAAGGAGGAGGTTGAGTCAGCTGCCACCACAGGATTAGTTCCTTGCTGTGGAGTTTCTGTCCTAGGAAGTGGCTTGCGACTGGCACTCCTTGTCTTGTCCTGCAAAGTCGATGGTTTCCATACCAAGGCCTGGTTATCACTGGATATTCTGCTCCCAGCGACAGCTGTAGAACTCCTTTGTCTCCAGTCTCAGCATGTCCCACACTAAACTCCCCAGTTCTCAGGTACTCCTTGCAGGAGGGGGTTGGGTGGGTTGCTGAGACATCTCTTCAGTTCATCAGCAGATGTCATTCAACTCTCAGATGCCTCAAGACAGACAACAGATATCCTGAGTGCCAAAGTCCAAGCTTATCTCTTGGATTGTTCGAGACAAGCACTGTACATCCTGAATGCCACACCTGTGTATTAGGTTTGCAAGACAAGGTTTTGGAAGCAGGGGGGCTGCAGGGGTGACTTCTGTGAGAAGCTGCTGTAAGCTTCCCTTGCATCTGACAGAGTCAAGACCAGCCAGCCCCAAGATGGACTCACCGCTGGCCAAGGTTGAGCCCATCAGTGGTAGCAACTCTGGGATAAAAGTTAAGAAGATGGAAAAGTTGCTGTACAACAGCAACTGCAGCTGGAGAGAAGAACATGTGAGAGAAACAGCTCTGCAGACACCAAGGTCAGTGAAGAAGGAGTGACCTTCTAGGGGACCCACATGGAGCTGTGACAATAACTGGTAAGTGATCTCCCCCTGTCTTTACCTCAACCCACCTGCCCTTCATTAAATTTTTTCCTCCCCTGTCCAGGTGAGGACAGGAGTGATAGAGTTGCTTGTTGGGCACTTGGCATCCAGCCAGGGTCAGCCTACCATAGTCTTCAATTCAGATATTCAGGGATGTGGAAACAGTAAAAGGGCAGCTCTCAGTATGGGTGGAAGCCGCTTCTTGTCAGCCATACTTGGCTGAGGAAGATTACCAACCTTAGGCTTGAACTGGTGTTTAGGTCTAAGAAAAGTAAATGTGTTGGGGCACAGGTTTTCCCAGGATTCTTGAAGGCTCAGAGATAACAGGGCACAAGCTGTCAGGGGCTTGTGTATGTTGGGGTTTGTGTCTGGACTGTGCCATGGGAAGTTCTGGTTTTGGTTTGAAGGTAAGGGTTTTGCTGGGGGGAGAAAAGCCTCAGGGCATCCCAGGGGGGCTTCACAGTGCACAAACCAGCAGTTTAAACCATACTGCACCAGTACACCTAATCTGTGGTCAGAAGGGGGGGGAAGTCTCCAAACATATTAATTGCATTATTGTAGCATCCTTCAACATTTAAACTTTTATGTTATAAAAATCCGGTTTGTCTAACAAACTCTCGTAAATATTGCTAATCAGTGACCCAAACCCAGAACCCTTGGTCTGGAAATATTGGATCTTTCTAGATTTATTTTCATCCTGAATAGTAAACCAACAGAACACTGTGGGAAACAACTTGGTTCCTATCAGGTGAGTATATTTCAATCGTATGTTTCTTGTGACTTGATATGCTAAAAATATATGACATAGAAAGTTTCTTCTGTTGGAAGAAATAGATTTTAATGGATCCTTCCATTCCTAACACTGTTGGGACAGAATATATTGCTCTCATGAAACCTCCTCCTGTCCCTTTTCTTCCCAAGGAGAAAAGTCATCAAACTCAGCCTAGCTCTGTGAGCTGTATTAGCTTTGATCAAAGGATATTTTCTGTCAGAAAAAAATATTCTGTCAGAGTGTTGCTGTATGTATCTGAGTGTGCACAGAGGCATATAAGCTAAGTTTTAAAATTCTAAGGGGATTGAGAGCTCAAACTCGTTGAAATTCAGGACTGAGACTTTTTCCTGCCTTGGAGATACAGGCCCTAGAGATGTAGATCCCCAGGGGATGCAACCAAGGGGAACAGACAGCTATTAACTTTGACAAGAGCTCTCCATCACTTTTTCTAGCAAAACACTCTGCAGAAAAAAGTGTGTTGCTAGTTCTGGATTAAGGAGGCAGGTGACAGGACATTTAGGTGCTATTTATGTTTCCTTTTGGGCACCACGCAGGTGCATTTCTGTGATTTTTATCAGTCATTTAATATTACTTCTGACACTGGTAGCATAGTTAAACCTGTAACAGGGATTACATTTATATTCATCTTCTATATATGTGTATCCTCTCCCACACAGTTTTCAGCTTTGGATCCCCATATTTGGAATATAAATACACTAAAAATATGGTTGTTTTTCTTAGTTGCCTGCTGCAGGTCACCTGAGCTTCACAGAGCTGAGCTGAAGTCCCATGTTAGTTCAACATGGAGCCTTTGCAGACACTGCTCTACAATAATAGTTATATGGAGTCACACCAAAGGTCTTGATCTTGTAGGGGCTGGTTAGAAAGATTAAATGACAAAGAGGCTTCCCCTGCTTTAACTTTCAAGCTTCTGGTAGATGGTTCCTAACCAAGCTGAGGTTTGCATCTGTATCATCACATTTGCTGGTCACTGATGAATATAATTTTCATGAATTGTCTAATCTGTTTCAGAGCCCTTTTAGGCTTTTGTTCTCTGTACCATTCTCTGGCAAGTTCCACTATGGACGCTGAGTTTTGTTAGTACTGAGCACAAGAGTTTTACTTCTACCCTTCTGGGAGTCTTACAGTTGATTTGTTCTGCAGGCAGAGGTGTTCTCCCAGCAGCCCTGCAGGTGTGAGGGAACCTGAAGGTGCAGAAATGCCCTGTCTGCAGCACAGGAGCATCCCAGCACTGCATCTGCAGCAAAGACTTCCCTCCCACGGCCTCCCTCATCGTTTGTTCATGCTGCAGTTTCAGCTACTGGTGGATAAGGTAATACTGTACATATGTGGCAGAATCTAGCTGCTAGCTCCCTCTGTAGGAAAAATACATATAAACTGCCCAGACTGTCCTGCCCGTGTGTGTGGTGAAGGCTGGCCCGGGAGCACTGCCCACCCCACGGGCAGGTGCTGGGACAGGCGCCTCTGTCTACAGTGTCATGTCTAGGGGACACTTATCCCCTGTCTGCCAAAATCTTAGCAAATAACGATAAAACACATGGATGATTTGGGGAGGCAAAAATCTCCACTGTTACCCAGCCTGAACGTGATTCGTGGCTCTGCACTTGCTTTCTGTGTCTCAGGTTTGTCCTCAAGGAAGCAGATGTTGCCTGCCCTGCAGCCCAGTTGGACACTGGGGACATGCAGCATCCCAGAGTTACGTGGGACCCATGTCCAGAGCATGGCCAAGACGCAATGCTGTAGCAGGAACCGTCCTCAGCCCTGAGAAGGCCCTAAAGGGTGGGCAGCACCAGGGGATCCTCCTGCAGTGAGCTCTGCAACAGCAGCAGCTCTGCTGGAGATCTGCATGCAGGAGTTGGCTACCAAGGTGCTGGCAGCTGCACCCACCTTACCTGCATCCATGCTGCATGCAGCCAGCACCAGCAGCCAGGAGCTCTGCCAGGAAGAAAGTGTAGCTTCTGTCACATTTTAAAGCATTGCAATGAAGAACTGTTTGAGTGATTTATTTCTTAGACATTTCTCTTTCAGCATGCTATTAATTAAAATACAGAAAACTCCATTAACACATCCTTAAAGGGCAGGTGCTTTGCCTCAAGTCACGTTTAAACAGCTAAGCCATTATGTAAACATCTCCTTGATTGGAAGCTCAATGTTACCACTGATGAAGTTCGTTTTAAGCAGTGAAAAGCTTTGTGAACAAGTTCCAAGAATCACTGATTTTCTATGCCTATAATTTATTGGATGACACATTTTAAATTAGTGCAAAAACCTTTTACGTGCAGAAAACCAAAACAAGCAATGAAATCTACCTTGTTACTTTTTTCCATATATTGGTGGTTAAATACACTTTCTAGCATGTTGGTTAAAAATTACCAGCTGAATGAAGACACTTTCAGAAATTAATGCAGTTTAATAATTAAATGACCAAGCCAGCTCATGAAAAAATGCACATTTTGCCTTCTGCATTTTCAGTATGCAATTGTGTGTATTTTTTGCTATTGTAAATGTGATTGTTTCCTTTAAAACAATCATGTTTACTGTTTGTTGCTAATTGTTAGATTTTTTTCCTTTGTAGTTTCTTAAGATTATAAAATACTAAAATAAAGATAAACCTCTTTTAGCTCTCAAAAGTGGAGGACTGGCTTAGAGAGTTAAAGATATTGAGTTGGGAAAGAAAACAACTTTCTACTTTACCTCCTCTCTGGTTTGTGTGCTTGTACAGCACAAAGGCAGCACTAACAGCAGAACCTATGAGAGTTACACGTATTCCTCCAAATCTTGTCTCGGAAATGAGTCCCACAGCTCCCTACAAAGTAATCGCTCTAATTAGATGGTAGGAAGGAGCTTCTTTAAATTCCTTAGAAATTAAGACGTGTCATCCGCTTAACAACTTAGCATCTGCTACTGCCTCTAGCACATTTCTCCACTACATCAGTCTGAAGGACACTTTCCTGGACCTTTCTGAGAGGAAAAAAATAATAACAAGCCCTTGAAACAGAGAGGAAATTGGCCTTTTCTTCAGTGGGATGAAGCATGTAAGGCATTTCACCCCCTCTTTATTTGTCAGTTTGGTGCACGTTTGCCTGGGTGAGTACAATAATCACTTTGTTATGTGAAAATATAGGAGGATACAAGCATAACCTTAAATCCTGTAGTAATCCTTACTGATGTGGTAATGTTGTCCTGAAATATTTTCCTTGGCAACTGATCCCTGTTCCTCTGTGTTTATATATTTAGAGCATTGTTTCAAATGGGCTATTCTGAATCTTAACTGTCAGTCAGTAGAATGACAACTAATTTGTTGTTTCTTGTTTGTTTTTTTTTTAACTTTGTTTGCTGTTGTCTGGCAGCAAGTAAGTAACAATTTTATTACGGCTAATTGCTCATGCAGTAGGCATAATTTTAAGACAATGTGCTTAGAATACTGGGTAAAGTACTGGGAAACTGGAAAAGCTTCAGATGTGCATGTGTGTGGAGTAGGGGAGACTGTACAGTCATTGCAAGCTGAAAAGGTTAATTTTGCAATTAAGCTTGTCTGGAACTCACTGAGATTTTTTAGAGATCCTTGCTACTTAATTTGTTCCTGGTGTGGTTTGTTGTTTTTTTTTCTTTTCTCATATACTATTTTTCTCTATTTGCTGCTGTGCAAATACTGGCACAGGGGCATGTAGAAGTAATTTTATTCAAAGTATCTGTACAGATAGAGTTCTGAAAGTCCATAGCAGCAACTGGGTATGTTACACACTCATAGTATTCCCAGAACAGCTCATGTTTACTGAGAGTCAGGTAACAAAGCCAAATAACTGCCACCTACAAAATGCTTTTGTTTACCTTCTGTTTGTTGTTTGTTTGTTTTTTTTAATTGCAGCTCAGGCAAATTATGCCCCTTATTTCTTTGATAATGGAGCCAGAAGCACAAATGGCAACATGGCACTTCTCAGCCTTTCAGAGGACACACCTGTTGGTCAGTATTAAAATTAGTATGTTCACATTGTGAAACTGCAGCTGCTTGCTCTTTTGATTAGAAATATATATAATGTTGTAGATTGTTGTAATATACAGTAGTCTTATGTATTTTTCTTGGAAGCTTTTAATTGGCCTCAATTTAAAATTACATATTTGAATTGTAGCTGTAATTTAAAACATGATGGTCCATCAGTCTATTCAGAGCATCAAAGCACAGACCTTTGGGGTCAGAAATAAATTTATGGTAGTGAAGGACTTCTTACTAATTCAGTAAATGCTTATGAGATAAAGCCTAGTTGCTTGTAATTTTATTAGCCTTGGTATAATACAGCTGTATATTGATATGTAACGGAGGCATGGTTTTCATTAAATAGTTACCACATTTTTCATGTTTACAATGGCAGAAAAGGTTTCTACTTGAAGTGAAATTGCTTTGTCTAAAAAACTTGTTTTTAAAAAAGGTTTAGTTTTCATTTATTGAAAATTCAGAAGTTGGTACATTTTTCAGCTTTCAGCATATTGAGGCAGCTCTATTTATGCTTCTTTTAACTGTGATTGTAATAAGAAAAATTTATAAGAAGAACAATTTAGAATCAGTATTTTACATGGGGGAATGAACACCACCCTTAGGTGGTGCAGAGGGGTGCACCCAAAACCCTCCCTTAGCCCTCAACCAGAGAACAGGAGGGGAAGGCCACACATACTGTAGAAGTGACGCATCTAGGTGATGAACTTAAAACCAGGTTGCTTATGATGCAGTGGGGATTTGCTATAAGCTCGGCCAGGCTTAAGTGGAAACTTCAGCTGAAGGCCATCAGTGATGTTGTGGCACTTGCAAAAGCCAGAGGCAGACCAAGAAGCTGTGAATTTTTTCTGTACTTCTGCCTACATTCACATGGAAACCACACTGGCTCAGTCTTGGCAATCCAGGTAGCCCTGCTGATTGTTGGACTAAAATAAACTAAGATAAACTAAGATTAGCAAGTGGAATTACTCATCTAATAGTGTAGATAAGGCTTGTAATGCAAAGTAGCCATAAAATGGCACCCTGACTCAGTTTGTTTGAGGTAGTTTTTGCCAACTCCACCACTCAAACAGCAGGCTGTACAACTCACTCACTTGCCATCAGATTCCCATCCCCTGGTGTAATGTCAGCTCACACACACGGACAGAGCCTCTCCCTGCCACTGCTTGGAGCCTCCAGCCTTCTGCATGTTCATGGGGCCACAGCACAGTCATAAGTGTCCTTCCTATCAGGACCACAGTGCCACATGGTCTCTTCATATGTCAGCACTCTCTGCAGCAGTAGATTAGGACATTAAGTTTCCACTGGGATCCAGTGCTTCTGATTTGGGGCTCCAAGCAACAACAGAGTGTGCTGGACTCAACAGATAAACAGCAGTGCGTAGGATCAGAGTCTGTGTTAGTGTTCTTGTAACTAGCCTGAGAAAGAATAGTCACAGACATGTGATAGGCTTTTGTGTGTGCTTTTGTAACATTAACAACCAGACTAGGTACTCAGAGGTCCCTGAAGAGTTTATGCTTTTGTTGCAGCAGTGATAAAGCCCAGGTGGCTCTATCTTCAGTGCCGCTGTGCCTAATGCCTGCTGACTTAATTCAGAATGTGTTTAAATGTGTTTACATTGGCTGACTTGTATTTCTCATTTGCTGTATAAATGTGCTTTAGAAGACTAGAGAGAGTTCTGGCTTAAAACTCCAAATGTGCCACCAATGTCTCTGAGGTGAAATATTAGGTGTTGAGTTTTGGCTTTTGCAAAGGGCCTAGAGAAACCCTTGGGAAAGGGACTTAAGAGCTTACTTTTGAGAGGTCCTAATTTGGTAGCTTGGAGGTGCAGCTGCTGGTGCTTCTTTGGGCTAATTCCAGAACACCTTGACTAAAAGCTGTGGGTACTGCAAGGCCCTCTTTTGTGAAAGTGCTTTGGGAAGTTCCCTTGGGACGTGGCTGCTCAATGCAAACTGCAGCTGCTACCCGCCGCCTATGTCAGCACAGCCACTCCTTGGGGATGCTTTGGCAGGAAGGCTCCCGGAGCAGGGAATGAATGACACCAGCACTTTGGTGCTACAGCACTGTGTGGGGAGCATCAGACCACAGTCAGAGCTTCATGCCGTCACTCAGTGAGGGCTCACACACTGCCTGTGCTAAATGGCTGCCAGCCTGGCCCTTTTCTGTGGCCCCACTGGCAAAAACAAGGGAATTAAAACTTTCATATGCTTTATTCTGGATGGCTTCACTCAAGCTTAGGTGCTACAAAAATGGGCAGGTTGCCTTTAGGTCTTCCCTATGCTTGAATAAATTTGGTATTATAGGCAGGATGCTTTTCTTGGCAGCAGCTGATGTCTGATCTGAGCAATGCCATGAACAGCAGCTTTAATAAACCTGCAGGAATTTTGCAGTCTTTGGCCCCACTGAGATTACCAGCAGCTGGCAAAGTGATGTTTATTAGTTATATTCCCTGGCATCTGTAGGCAAGGGAAACACAACATTTTGGAGCACTGAAAGGAGAATATGGATACTCTACATGATTGTAGAAAGAAAAATTGCAGTGCTGCAGCTGCATGAAAGCCTTAAATTCAGGAAAATCACATTATCATGCTCCTATAATCCTTAACTTGACCTGCTTTTCCTTGTGCAGTTTTGCTTAATGACAGATAGTTGTAATCTACCAAGTTGCATACATTGTGACATAAATTATCATTAAAACAGTAAACAGTATTTCTCTGTGAAAGCTTTAAAGTGCCTGCAGCTTCCCAGATCCCATTTATTGCTACATAGCGTAAGACCCCTTGAGGTAAGAAAGGCCAGAACAGCAGCCCCTTTCTGTGCCAGATTTAAAAGAATGGGAAAAGTTATGAACTGAAATAGCATTTGCAGTTTGTGTAGCTGTTTGACAGGGCAGGTGGGTGATTAGCTCTTTGCAAAAAATTGTCTGTGTACATACAAAATGTGCGTGTGCTCTTAATCAAGGTCTTAAGGCATGTGTGGGATGCTATTTCAGGCTGTTTGTTTCATCTTATCTAATTAATCCCTATAAGCCCTCATAGTGGGGACAGAGTGGGACTGAGAACAGCTGCAGAGCAAGGGATTGAAGCATAGTCAGAAGACCTACGTTCATTACTCTCTCAAAGCCCAAGCATCATTGGTGCTCTGGAGATCTTTTCATGCCTCTCATCCTTGCATTTTTCAGGTATACACTCCTTCTCATTAAAAGCCAGTTTGCCTTGGCAGTTCTGTGATCAAAGCTGCAGTTGCCAGCTACCTACCAGTGGCTGACTGACCACTTCAGTTCCCTCCATCCATCAAGCTTCCCCTGTTGTTCCTGGACTTGTTTCTTCCTGTTATTCGCAGTTGGTTGTGGAGAGCCATTTTGTTCCCTCTGGTACCTTACACTGCTTCCCTGTTCTATCACCCTGGTCCAACTGATGCTCCCCAAGCTTGGTAAGAGTCCTTGCTGATGTGTTTCCTTGTCCTTCCTTCAGTGCTCAGTGATCCCATCCTGGCAATCTGCCATCAGAGAGTATGTGTTTCTGTATTTCATCCATCACATAGTATCTGAACCCACAAGGCATTTTTTTTCTGCCCACAATTTACTTCCAGCTTTCCTTGTCACAAGAAATACCTAAGTGAAAGAATCAACATGCCTCTTTTTTAAATGATAATTCCTGTCCAAGTAGGAAGGACACAGACATGGATAATTTAGCCCAAGCTGCATCTTGAAATCTAGAGACCCACCAAGACCTCACATTCATATGATTCCTGGCTGCATTTTTTGAAGGTGCAAAAATATTCAGCATTTTGCAGAAGCTAAAATTTCTCCCAGAGAAAAGCTTCAAGCTACCAGAATAAAACCTGTGAAACGCAGCCTGCTTTCTGCATCACTGCAGCAGAGCCAACCCGGCACCAACGGGAGCCCCTGCTACGCAGAGCCCTGCACACAGCTGCGCAGAGACCACACCCCTCTTACAGCCTTCGCTTCTGCTTTTATTCTTCTGACAGAATCTGCAGATACATCAGAAAGTTGCCCTCACCTGGCTTCTCTTTTCAGTTGGTTGCTGCAGGTGCAGTGGGGACACACTGCTGCTGTTTGTGGGGTGGTGTTTTGGGCCCGCTGCTGGCGCTTGCTGCTGTACCCTCCTTTCCGGACTGCAGCTGCTTGCAGGCGGGGCCTGCTGCTGCTGCTGCTGTTGCAGACGTGGCTTTTGGGCTGCGAGTCCTGGCCGTGTCTCCACCAGCTACCCTGGTGTGTCAGGGTGCAGGGAGGGAGCAGGAGTTGCCTGGGTGTGCTCAGAAAGGAGCCATGGCTCATAGTAAATGGGAAGGAAGCCATTTTGAAGTAGTTTTGGTGTGTGGTCTATGTCCTCTAGGATCCTGAGCTCCCATTTTCTTGGGGTGAGCTTGGAGTGTATAGGAGACATCTGTAGGCTTTGTGATAACTGTCCATCACCTTTTCTGGTGGAGAAATGGGCCTTTGGCTGAGACAGGTGGAGAGTAGGCACAAGACCCCAGGCAAAATGATATTTGCTGTGACATTGGAAACAGAGGTGTCCTGTCCTGGGAGCATGGCCCTAGATGTCCCTTTCAGCATCTTATTAACAGATGTCAGCTGTGGTGGCAAAGGACAATGGGGAGACTGAGCATGATTCCAAAATGTGCTTGGCTTTGTTTGACTTGGCATGGTGAGGCTTGGATTGCTGAGTGTTGCACAGCAGAGAGGGAGAAACTATCTTCAGTGAGAGGGCAAAACCAACCCTAGAGCACATGGACAAAGGTTGGCTGTGAATAAATTTAAGTCAGAAATGAAGTAAAATGGAGCATTTGCATCATGGGTTGGCCATTCAGCATGAGTGACAGGACCAAAGACGAAATTACTTTTAAGATGGAGTTGGAAAACTGAGTAGAAACCTGGCTTGGCTCCTGGTAAGCAACTCTAGCAGGGAGCAGTGTACAGCTTCCCATCCCAGCCTGCTGCATCATCCCCTAGGTACTCAGAGCATCCTGCTCTTCCAGCTGGGGCCCTTACATGGAATTTGCTATATCCACAGCTAAAGACTCTTCTATTCCTTTATCTTTCTGACAGGGAGAGGCTGTTTACTTGGTACTTATTGATAAGATTTTAGCGCTTTTTTTCCCATTTATTTCATTTTTAGCAAATGGAGGCAGCACACTGAGAGGAGGTTTTAATTGGCATTAACACTGAGCTGAAAAGTGTTCCTGGGGTGTTAATGATATGGAGAGTATTGTGCAATGAAATTACAATTCAGACAAAATTAGGAATTATAATGAGCTTGAAAATAAATTTTGATCCACAATCCAATTTCAAAGGCACACAAGTATCCTGTGTTATGAAAAATGAAGAAGTATCAGCTTTAGCCAGGAAGTGAACAGTGTAAAGATGAGTGATTTCCATAATTACTTGCTCAGAAAGCTCAGTAATCTCAGTGTATACCATTATAAAAGTTTCTTCTCACATTTAGCAGAAAGAAAATCCCTGTTTTCCTTATTAAAAAATCCTAGAAAATGTAGGGGAGAAAAATGTAAGATTGGAAGAAAAAGCCCATTTTCAAATGTGTTCACCAGAACTTTCACAGTCTATTCTTCACTAGCACATGCCCTGTGATCCCTGAGGAATGGTTTGCAGTCCATTGCAGTCCCAGTCACAGCACAAGACCGTGTGCCTGGCTGTCACCTGCAGGCTCCAGGGGAACCCAGATGCAGGCTGTGGTGTCCATCCTGTTTCTCCACCGCACAGGCAGATATCTGCATGAACTAGAAACAGGCAGGACAGCCAGACGTATATAAAGTGGAAGGGATAGAAAAAGTATAGAAGAAGGGCAGAAAAGCAACTGAGAAGTAAAAACTTCTTATGGCTTAAAAGGGCTGAATAAAAGCACTGTATTGATAATGTCACTGAAGTGCTGACAGCTCATACATGAATTCTCCATTTGGCCCTAGCTGTGATAATGAGACAAACCTTTTGAAAAACAAGAATAAATGCAGTCAGTGCTGGTACTGCAGAACCTTCAACAGTCTTGAAATTTATGCTCTTATGTAGACAGCTAAATCAGGAGGCAGGTGTCCTTTCAGAACTGTTTAATCCTCTCCTTGTATTTCTTTGTACTTACACAGTTCAGTTGTCCCTAATCATTTTTGGGTATCTGTCTTGCAGATGTGTGATGTGTTGTTACTTTCTACACTTTTAATATTTTGGAAAAGTCTGAGAAAAACATGGAAAGCATTTTGTAGTTTTGTGACCCTGGTTTGCAAATCTTGACTATTGGCTGGCTGAGCCAGCTCGTAACAGGGTCTGGTTTGTGCTCCTGTGGGCCTATTGGTTTTTACATTATGAACATTTTTCTGTGCAAAGTTGCCCAAATTTTGCCCTGGTAATTATCAGAAGAGGGTTTACTCATAAATGAGAACAGATTCCACATTACTTGGCAAAATCTCTTGCTATGCAAAGAACACAGCCAGATTTTTTAAGTATCACTGCTGGTGCCTGGACATTGCATGTCCATTAAGCCCACTAATCTGTTTCACATTTTACATGCCAAGGAGTAAGTAAAAGAGGAGCAAAAGGTTGTATTGCAAAACTGAGGAAACATTCAAGAAACTGATCTCTCAGTGTGGTAGGCAGGGCCTCAACCAAAGCTCTAGAGTTTAACAGAATTTTATGGATCTGGTCAGTGAAAAACTCCACTGCCACTGCAGTGGGGATATGAGAAAAAGATTATTACTTTTGAGTACACAATTAAAAATCTCTCAAACTCAAGGACAGAGCAGTTAAAAACTGGAGTCTTCTGGGTTCTATTTAACAGTGTTCTTCCTTAACTTTATGCTAACTTTCTTAGTGGGGATCCTTCCATCCTATCTTTGTATTCCATGCACAAGTGAAACTCACTACTAACCAGTAAGTCACTTGGCTACAGTATTTCCAGTACAGATAACTTAGTTAAATGTAAAGCAGAGTTTCTTTTCTGAACTGGGATATCCCAGATAATTTACCAAAGGCACAGTGCACTGGACTGAAACAAAAGTGTTTGCAAAGTGCTTGAAGTTATCCGGGTGAAGATATTAATGCACAGTAGAATGACAGATATGTAAGTTTAAAAAAATAACTAATAAACCCACACTATGTTTTAAAAATGTGGGTGTTTTAACTCCCCCAGGAAGTCACTTTTGATAATCAGTTTACTGGAAAAACTGGCACCAACTTCTCAAATGTTTGAAAATAGAAAAAACAATCTCTCTTTCCTCAGCTTGTGAAAAAAATACATTGATGAATTTAGAAAATTTATTCATTGGTATGAGCATGAGTGGGTGTGTTAAATAGATAATTTAATGAGAGTGATCTAATGAGGAGGAGTGAAATAGGAAAGAAAACTTTCATATCTATTAGTTCTGAAAGTGGAAGAGTCTGCAAATGTCCGTGCACCTCCTGAGCTTCTGAGCCTGGGTCCAGTCCCTTGGGGGCACTGCCTTCAGATGTTGGATCTTCTGCCTGCTAGTTTGCATTTTGGTTGCTTCCATAAGAGGGCTTTTTGGTACTGCTGAGATTGTCACCCAGTCCTACAACAGTACTGCTTTTGACTCCCCTGGGCTGAGAGTTTGACATGAGTTTACAAACACTATGATGTGAACAGTCTTGATCTAGTTGCAGTTCCACAGGAAAGGGCCCTAAGTGCGAGAAACCAGCACTGATAAACCTGGTTTAACCAGTAGGCTAAACAAGTAGGCAATCAGGACTATTGAGCTGTCTACTTATCCATATTTCCCAGTAAATGGGTTTGATTCGCAAAAGCTTTGTCTGCCACAGGGTACCTGAGTTCCCAAGGAACTCTCACAGCTCCTGATTTAGGAGTGGAAGGTAGTTTGTTGCAAATTGGGATTTTATACACCTTGAGGTAGCAGCAATTTATTATTATTATTATTAGGTAAATGACAGAATTAAACTGAATAGTATTTAATGACACTTGATCATCAGCCAATTTACAGAGTGACTTAACAAAAATTATAATCAAAAAGTGGCTTAGTTAAAGATTTGAGAATGGCAAGGTTCACATAAGTTGACAGAATTTCTTAAATCAAATTGCACATACATAAGCACACAAATATAGAGGTTAACATAAAATTTAAACTTTTCAAAACTCAATTATAGATAATTACTTGTCTGCACATATCAGCAATCTGTGAACCTCATGAATTCTCCCCTGAGAGGCGTCTCAGGTCAGGGGGAGACACTGGAGAGGTCACAGCTTGTTGCCATCCCAGAGAGCTCAAAGGGTCTCACTTAGAATCTCTGTTTATAGGATCATGACATGGTTTACTTTGGTCAATACTTTATTTTTTTGTTTTGACTACAACTTCTGTTATGTGGTTCTGATATCTCAGCCAACCAGATCAGATTCTGATCCAGGCAGCAGGAGTTTCCAGTAGACTTAGGGGAGTGCCTGATCATCCCAACTCATTGCACTTATCACCAGAACAAGAACACAGTGTTGGCTCATGCTGAGATTGCAAAGTGACCCAGGGAACTGCAGCACCACAGGAACAGAGCAGCACAATATTCAGTGATTGAACAGGAAAATGCTGAAACAGGGAAATGTTGTTGAATGTCAACTTTTCAGGTACCCATGTGTACACTCTGAATGGCACTGATCCAGAAGGCGATCCCGTGGTGTACGGCCTGGCATACGAAGCTGGATCAAGACGCTACTTTTCTGTTGATGAGAACTTTGGAAATGTTACTCTGATTGAAGAGCTTGACAGAGAGGTACAGTGCAATGTCATCATTCTGTGTTTGTGGAATTTTCTTTAGTTTCATTTGATCTGTGGGTTTAAGGGCAATGCCAACTTACTTGCTCCTGAAACATATACTTTGCAATTCTGAGACATTAGGCTTCACCTATCACATTGTTTTCCAGTTGACTTGTGCCACTGTCACTGCTATCACGTTTTTTGGCAGCTGCCTGTCCAGCTTTTGCTAAGAGAGAAGTTTACTCTTTATTCCTATCTTCCCCCATCTGCTCCCCATCTAGAGCTTAGGGGCAGTTACAATCCTCTAATCCTGAAACAGGGGACTCTCCTGTCATTAGAAGGAAGCAGAGATTTGTGTAAGCAGTGTTCCAAGACACTACTCTAGCTCTACATCATAGCTGATAGCCTGTCAGTAACCACATGGGTTAAAGATCTAGCAATACTAGCCTGAAGACAGCCTTATTCTGGTAACAGGCACTGAACCCTTCATATCTCCTTTGCAGAGAAGGGTACACAGTACTTAGTAAACTCTTCAAAGTGCTGTATACTGAGACAGAAGAATTTTGAACCAGTCATGGTTTTTTATGGAATGTTTTTTGAAAAACATGACTGAATTTCACTAGCATCCTACAGGAAAACAGGCACCAACCATCTCTTGACCAGTAGCTGCAGAAAGTCCAAGGAGCCCCACAACTGAAGCTTCTGAGAGGTCTTCCTAGCTTCTGCTGTGATTGCTTTGTGGTATTAGTAGTTACTTTCTTCTACCTACTGAGACACATTTGAATTTTCAGTCCCATTTCAAATCAGGGCCGACACTGTCTCTCTAACAAAGGGGTTTTCTTGGTTTACAGAAGGAAGATGAGATTGAAGTTATCGTCAGTATTTCAGATGGCCTGAATACAGTAAGTAGTTAATTATTCTGTAGCTTATCAAACTGTCTGTCTCCACATACATCCTCCTATTAAATTACCTTACAGGGACCATCTCATTTTATCAAAAAACGTAATCTAACTAGAGTCTTACCTCCTGTTTCAAGAGCCACTAAGTCCCAGTAACTTGGGTCTCGCTCCAGCTCCTTGCTTAGCTATTTGAGCATAATTACAATGTAGTGAGAGCTGAAAGACTCACTTAGTGGCCTGCAGAATTAACAGCAACTTGCTGTGAAGTTTCACTGTCAGCTCAGTAGGATTTGTACCTAAGAAAAATCTGGAGGCTTTTTGGAGAAATGCATGAGTTTTTAGAAACTAATACTGGACACCCAAGAGCAGGGCTGTCTCTCCCTTCCCACAACATTTCTTTAGCATGACATTAAGAAGATTTGCTTAAGCTAAGGTGGTGGGGGCTTTCTTGTCTACTGTTGAATAAAGCTTTGATCACATCTAATCATTAAGGATTTATCTGAGGCATTGCACAAGCATCCAGTCCTAGTTCTACACATTTCCTTGGCATTTTCAGTTTAGAGGTGGAGCTGTCACAGCCAGGATATTAGTCTGCCAATAAGAGGACCTAGCCTTCATCACTAGATGTGCCACGAAGTGGGACCCTTTTACCATCCACAAGACAGAATAACTCTAGAGCTTCTCCTCATCTCAAACTAATTAGTTAGATTACTACAACAAATATTTGAGGAGGTGCCAGTGTCCTACAGGCACAACTGTCCTGGCTACCCCTATAAATAGGAAATAATGGGATCACATATCCACTTGCAAACAGCTGGGAAATTTTGTTGGTCAAATGTGTTGGCTTCTGATTTTTTAGAAAGAGAGCACATATTTTGTTCAAGATGGATGGTTACATATTAGTAGCCTGCATCTGTATATCTGAATTATGCATGCTGTTAGCCTAGTATCATGATATCAAATGAGGCATTAATGAATGCTCTTGGCTGTCAGGTACCAACTTTTACAGTCTTTTATATATTCTCATAAAATACATCACAGTGTCTTGAATGCCATAAAGAAAAATAATTACTTTTGAAAATTAGCCCAAATCTGTAATTTATAAAGTACTCTGAGACTCCTCTATCTCTGTTTGGAGCTATCTGGGTGTTCTATGATTCTGTGATTCTCCACAAAGCAAATTCTTCTGGATGATGGGATTTTCTGTATTTTCTTTTATGTGCTCAGTTTTAGTAGTGCAAAGATTACAACATAACTTTTCAGTGCCTTTGACTTCACCTTAGTAATCAAATGGACAGGTGCATGTTGAAAATCAGTTTAGAGTTATAACAAGTTCTTCATATTCTGCTCCAGGTTTCTGAAAAAGTCAGGATCCTTGTAATGGATGCTAACGATGAGAGCCCAGAGTTCATCAATACACCTTACATTGTCCAAGTCCCAGAGGTGGGTGAAGTTGCTTTGCATAATAGAAGTATGTTTCAGAAGGGTGTAAAAGAAGCTAGTATGTTTTCAGTAGAATAAGATGATGTGCAGGACTAACTTGCAGTCTTTTGGTTTGGGTAGGTATTTAATATTCATTGCAAACTTAGGGAATAAGGTGAGTTACTTTATAGGTAAGCTCCAAGCTAAGTGTCATGGGGAGTTTTTAGAATTTACTTCAGTAGGAATAGGATGCACTTTGTCTTAGCTGAGATTTCCTGTCATTTTTATTCAAAAAAGGTTTTTTTTCTTCCTAATTTTTTCCAATTTCCTCCGTTTGTAGTCTCTTCCCTCTTCTCTGTCTTCTATTTGGTTCTTTCTGCCATCACTCTCTTTTTCTGCCTCCTTGCATGCTCAGTTTTTATTTCTTCTGACTCATCTGGTTTTCCACTGTGTGACTCTGATAACTCTGGTTACAGAATGCTCCCTCTGGCAGCAGTATCTTCAAGATCGAGGCAGTGGACAGAGACACAGGTTCTGGAGGAAGTATCACCTACTTCTTGCAGGTAAGGTATAACTGGTATCTTGAAAAATCATCTCTCATCTACTGAGATCTCAGAAATCAGGTTAAAAAATATTTTAAGGGTTGAGCCTGCTACTAAGTGTCTATAGAACCAATTTTGTACCATGCAAAAGAAAACAAGCATTGACAAAATGGATACTGTCTGATTGCCAGCAGCCAAGTGCAGTCTGGCAGGCAGATGGTGGAGTGGGAGTTGCCACTGTCACTCGTGTCCTTGCTGGCAGGGCTCTTATTGGACATTCTTCGGAATAACAAGGAGAGCAAGTCTAACTTGTAATCTTGGATGCATATCAGAAACACAAATGTGCACTTCAGTGTATCAAGCTGATGGGTAACTGAGACCTGAATCACAGGTACTAAGTCTTCTCACTGACAAAGCCATGCCCACCTGAAACCAGCCTTTCAGGTATTCCCCACTGGTGGAGAACAGAAAGGGCTTTGGATGTAAAGCTGAAGTTCTTTATTACAGACCTTCTGCATGCCAAAAGGACAAATTTTTGCATTACTCTTCCTACAAGCAGCTTTGTCCTTATTAGCTGCAGTTCCCCTTATTCTAGAAGGAACAGAAAAAAGACCAAATAGCTTGTTGCAATATTGTTTGGATACAATTATGGAAACAAGTGTGGAGATACTTGCACAGCACTAAAGCTAATACTGTTAAGAGGCTGGGCATATTGAAAGAACACTTTTTGAGTTCCTTGTTGAAATTGAGTTTTGATTCCACCAACTATGATCCATTTAAAAGACAATCTGTGCATGATTCAGTTTTGCACAGGGTTTTTTTTCCAGTAATTTAATAGACTATGAAGCTAAGGAATAGCAGTTTCAAAGTTCTGTGTCTAGTTGATATGTTTGTGTGGCAAAAAATGTTATTAAATATGTGTATTTGCTGAAAAAACATTGCTGTGTCTTGTAGCACAATTTCTGAGAATTCTTAAGGTGCACAAAAAAAAACCTCTGAAAGTCTGATGTGGTGACGTGTACTGAGAAGGCCAAGACTAACAGTGGCCACTGTGTATGAATACCCAAATGGGAGCATGTTTATAGGTATCTCCAGTCCAGAGAATGGAAAGAGACATTGTTTAGGCCTTTTTGGAAATCAGATGTCTTATATATTATTTGTATATCACAAAAATCACCAAAACACCTCTCTATTGACAATGACCTCTGCATTCAAACTTCCTGCTATTTCTTAAGCTAGTGAAACTTTAAAAAGCTAAGAAATAACATTTTATGCTTCTTCCTTTTCCCCTCATCTTTTTTAGTCTAGAGCCCTCTCTACCTTTCCATACAATGAACTGTGTTAAGCAAAGCTTACAATGTCACAATTAAATACTGAAAGATTTTTTAAAACTACATTGCAGATAACTGATTTATTCTGTATAATGAGACTCACGGTTAGTTCATGAATTGTTCATAAACACACAGAGGTGAAATTCATCAAATACATTATTCACCCAAACTGCATAATTATTCTAGTCTTTTCCCTTAGCAGATGAAATAAAAGATTAATCCCTATGGCAATTTTATTTCCATACCTCTAATCTCTTGCTGTTTCTTCTTTTCTTTTCTTCTAGAACATCCATGCTAATAAGTTTACAATAGACCGTCACAGTGGTGTCCTGCGCATCAAAACAGGGGTTACCCTTGACTATGAGAAATCAAGAACACATTTTGTTGTCGTTGTAGCCAAGGTACAAAGCTTTTATCTGAAACTACAGGAAGTGGGGGGTTGTAAGTGAGAAGGATTGATTAGTTTGGATTCAGGTGTGACTTAAAGGGCTGCTGAAACATGAAGCATAACATTGAGGCAGTCACTCTAACACCTGGAGGTGTGTGGGGCTAACATGGAAAATTGAGGGAGGAAAGATGACCAGTGTCTGCTGCTGAACAAGCATCTGGAAGCATTTGTGAGTGGTTTTCCCACATTTTGCTCAGGCCCCAGTGCCAGGATAGTGAGCCTCACTGCAGAAAGCCACCTGTGTGTTTTGAGAGTCACCTAGAAGTGAAGGGTCGATGTATGCAGCCCCAGCTTCAAGAAGCCTCAGCTTCTGGGCAAACACAGGGTTCCCTTGTGCTGTTCAGGGCATAGTCCTGCTGCAATAAGGGCAAACCCTGGGCAGACAGGCAGTGAAGGTCATAGTTATTAGCCACAGTAAGACACAGGGCACAGCTGGATGCAGTGCAGCACAAATGAGAAACTTCTTTTCTGAAAGCATCTGTGGGTGTTTCACTTCTCTGCTGTCTTGTGGCAGAAGCTTATTCAAATCCTGCAGATGCTGTACCACATCCCTTCTTGCTGCTATCATTCTCAGCAGTGCTGCATCTCTGGTGCAGCTGAGAATTCATAATGGGCATTAAAAGTTTATGGATTCTGAAGTAAAGTTTCTCAGGATCCTTTGGGGACCTTTGACACAGATAGACTTGCATGGGTGGAAAGAGGATGATTTTGCTGCTACTTGAGGGGAGTGAGTTTCTCATGTTTTATGAAAAACATATGGATCTTTTTATGTATTTATTTAGCCAGGGTTCTGGCTTAAATGTTGCCTTTGGTATAGCAAGGAGGAAAAAACTGAGGATATATTTTCCAAAAAAATGGAATTTTTAGAATTAGTACAGCAGACATGCTGAATAATTCGCACTCCCATACAGCAGCATGACTACTGACCTCCAGCCAGTGCTCTGAGACTCAGTGTGTTAAAAGCTTCTGAAATTGTGAGTCATCTTTCTGATTGGCTCTGCTGTATGAGTAGCACAGAGTTGATTGCAGTCAGGTCCCCAGAGACTGTTTATACACCGTGGCTATCTAACAGTTGTTGGCTGCACAGCTCCTCCGTGCTCTCACTTTATCACATACCAGTCCCTAGGAGACTTCAGTCATGCATACTTGTTTAATTTCTCCCTGGAAATGCACTACCTTGCTTCTGTGCATTGTCTTGTGTTTATGACAAAACTATATGTGGGATGAAAAGCTGTAGACTTCAATAATGAACTTTTCCTATCAGTTTCCAGCATTCTTATTTCCCTACCAAAAAAAATGTATTGCATATCCCCTGTGTTGTTGATAAAAGATCATGTATGACTGCATAGATTGGCACAACCACTTGTAATATAATTACCTCTCAGGAACTGCAAGCTGTGTTCCTAATCAGACAGGGAGCAGGACAAATTGAAAAGAGAAGGGAACAGGGCAGCAGAGATTAATCTGTGTGTTAAGAGAGAGAAGGGATTCCTTGGACTTTGCTACTGCAGGCTCATGAGGTGCATGCATTGCTGAAAACTGATTTGCAGACATGTGTGAGTGGAGGGATCTGATAATTACTTCTCTTCTAGGATGGTGGTGGGAAGCTCAGGGGAGACAACAAAGTGTTTTCAGCCACAACAACAGTTACTATCAATGTGGAGGATGTTCAGGACACTCCTCCCATGTTCGTCGGGACTCCCTACTATGGATATGTCTATGAGGATACACTTGCAGTAAGTGCTGCTTTTTGCCTGTAGGAGAACAAATGCAATCTTTCATTTCTAAGTCAATATGGTCCTATGGTTTCTAGCACAAGCTTTATTGTAAACTGGGACCTAAACTCTGATTTGACTCCTAGGTGAAATGAGCTGACCAGATCTCAGAATTGTTCTTTATTACCATCCATTGCAAATTTGACATACAAGGCTTCCTGTTGTTAAAGTAAAAAACGTTTCTGCTTATTTATGTTAGTCTAAGCCCAGACAGAAGCTAAGAGCTCCTCTGTAGCTGAGACCTGCAAAGGCACTGGGCTGAAGGCTTAAGCCTCACCAGTTGCCTCACCTGAACACATCATGCTAAAAGCCTTTGTGTGCTGTGTGTTCTCACGGTGCTTTTATTTTCTAGTTGATCAGTCTGGTACCAACAGCTGGTTGTGTAAGGGCAAGAGTTTATACCCGAATGCTCTAGACTCTGTGCTGTTCCATGGACACCACCTGGGGAGAAGCAATCCTGACATTCCCCAAAATCCAGGGTACTTACTGCTCAGTGATGGCTAGATAGTCAGAATGGACCAGTAAATCCTTCTAGGCCTAAACAGCACCAGTTTATCAAGCAAGCAGGGACATACTTAGGAGAACCACTTACAAGTAGGGACACTGCATTTGTCAATATGTGTCTTGCTGCTGAAAATACCACTTTGTATCTGTCATGGACACAGAATCCATGGAGTACGCTGAGCTCCTGGCTGTGCTGTCACCTTGGAAATGCTAAAAGCAGGTTTGCTTAAAAGGGGTTATACAGCTTAGTAAATCAGTTTATTGTATCAGCCATGAGGCTTTCAGCCACATTACTCTTGAAGCTATGAACTAATGAATTTTGTAACTGTCCAAAAAGTGGCATGATATTGTGTATGCACCAGGTTTCACCCTGATACATAAGGTTTAATTATATTTTTCTTCACATATAGGATGAGAAATGAGAAATTCATGAATTTTTAACCAACATCAGACTACTGATCTCTTTGGCAATGTCATTGCACTCTGTTCACTTGACCTTCCCTTGAAGTTTCAGGGAAGATCATGTCTTTAGTTTCTGTCCAGAACCACAATGTACACTGCAGGCCTTGCACAACTATATATTTCTGTTACATTTCAGCAGGGCAGAGAGGTAATGTTTGTGTGTTTTGCAGATGTTTGGAACTAGTGATACTATGATTTATTCTGCATAACTATGTATAGTTCTTGAAGTAACTATCATATGCACCCAGAAGTTAGTGTTTACCATGGAAGTGGCAGTCAACAAATGTTAATTACATCCAACCTGAGTTAATAACATACACATTATTATATTACAATGATGGAATCACAAATTCCATTCCCACTGTGGGTTTTGTTATTAGAATGAACTCCACAATGAGAGATGCACCAGCTGATTTTAGTGTTTACACATTTGGTGTTAACTTTGTAAACTTTCTTCTTTTCTCCCTGATGATGTTGTCAGGATTTACAAGTTTTCTGTCACCTTCAAAGGGAATGCACTGCATTTTGCCCAGTAGGCTGATTTTATTGAAACTTCCAGCGTAAATTATCTGTATTTTTCCCAGTAAGCAGATTTTATTGCAGCTTCCAGCATAAATGATAATAAATACAATTCTGTGTTTCCTGTTGCTCTAACAGAACCTGGCTCTAGTTTGAAAAAGCCACCCAAATGTTGCGATGAAAATGTTCCTTGTTGCCAGTTGTGATTAACTGATAGTTCCTTCAATGTTCCCTGCTTTTGTAGCCCCAAACAGTAACACTTTAGTTCAGAGGCCTAGATTGCACAGCTTATTGCCTCTGAGGTGAGTGTTTTAATGCTGACAGTCATCATCCCTCTCAGCTGACAGGAGCAGTCACATGGGCAAATGGTCTTCAGTACACAAGTTCTGTACAAATGACCTATGGCTATGTTACTTGCACAGAAAGAAATGCAGTGAAATGCTGAGGCAGCTGAGGCCCAGGCACCAGAGCAGGTTACCCTGCCATTGGTGCAGCAGCATGGCACTGGCAGCAGGTCACACAGAGGGCCCATAGAGAGTCAGCAGCAGCAGCAGGGATGCCCCCACTTTTTATGGAGGAACAGTGCATAGGCTGCAACATCACTTGGAACAACTAAAACTATGAATGTAGGAACAACACAGAGTTGGTCCAAGGAGTAGCATTTGGTTCTTGCTTTGCAAAGCCAAGCACTGACTTTTTCTGGCTGGGAGTCAGTAGCACTTGGTGTGTTCCCCACATAGCACAAGCAAAAGTATTTACTCTTCCCTCCACACCTCACTGCAGAAAGACTCTAAGAAGTTCAGTTTATTCATACACAGTTTCACTGCTCTCAGATCTTGGCATAGACTGCGATTTCCCATTTTTCCCCAGGGCTCTGAGGTCCTTACTGTTGTTGCTCTTGATGGAGATAGAGGAAAGCCTAACAGCATTCATTACTGCATCGTGAATGGTGAGTAGACTTGTGTGAAATCTGAATGGCAGCCAAAACTAGATCTGACGTTAAATTAGAATAGGATATGCTAGAGTTTATTAAAGCTGAGACAAGCTCTCATGAAAAAATGTCAGGTATCTCAAACAACTCCCGGGCTCTGTCTACCAAATAGCATCCAAGATAGGATTCACTGAGTTTTATGATCTGCTTCACAGACTTAGCTTGGAATTGTTAATGTTGCTGATTTGTTAAGCATCAGTAGCCTGCTTGTCATTTCAGAAAGCATAAAGGGAGATGCATTCACTGCTACTGAGCATCTCTATCATTAATCTGAGAGGCAAGAGAGTGCATTCTGGGGAGATCCAGACATTTAGAAGGATATTTTTATTAATACTGCTATTAAAATGGCTAAGCAGTCAAACCTCTGGTTTCTTGGAAGAAATTGTTTTCAGTAGTGAAGAGACACTGGCTGTATACTGCACTGGAAGAACGTAGATGTTGTCAGATTAATGTTTTTCATCAGCTATTCTAAGAGTGTCTGTCACATGTCTTTTAATAGCATAAATGTGAGACTTGGCTGAATTGATGATTCATTAGCTGGTGAAGTAAACAACTTAGCTCAACAAAATTCCAAGCTACAAAACCTTAGTTTTGTTTAGTTCTCTCAGCCTCCAAAACAAGACTTAAACTCCTAGGTGTAAGAGATCCCAAAATTTCTCAAGAGAAATCTCAAGTGCAGACCTATGTAGTTAAGTTCTTCGTTGTGTGACGTGATCTGAATAGCAAGGTCTAGAGGGGACAGAGAGGGTTGCAACTGAGGTTTTGCCTTGATGGTGGGATATGACCCATGCTGACATTCTTTCTCAAAGCAAGAGAATATATATAAGAGGGTAAAAGGAAGGAAGAAACATTGAGAAAAAAAAATGCAAAAAAGAATAACTGAAAAATTAGAAAAAGTAAAAAGAAAGGTGGAGAACAAGGAGTATAAACAAAAAAGTGGGATGGAAATATGCTAGACAAGAGAGAAATTGAGTAAGAAGAATAAGCAAAGGCTGATGAATTGGGGAAAATGTCAAAGGGGAAAAGGATAAATGAGGAAAGTTGTTAGATTTCCAGAGATAATAGAGGACCAAAATGGTGCTATGGGATAAAAAAGGTAAGTGATTAGGAAGGAGTGGAAAATGAAGATGGAAGGGTATGACTGATAAGTAGCACAAAATATGACTTAATAGGGAGAATGCTTTTTTCATGCACATTAACACAGGATTTTTCTAGCATGAAATGGAAAAGAGGGGAAGGAAAGTTGAAGAAATAGAGAATAGAATATTACAATAGTTTTTTTGTCCCTGCACCTCAGACCCTGGCATTACTTGTGACAAGTCATTATTCCAGTACCTACAGGCTGGGGTGTCAAAAAGCAAGAAAATACTATCAATAAATAGGAAATTATTTCTTCATTATAAGCATTTTTTATCCAGGGAGTGTGGGATAATTTTAGAAAATTATCAGAATCCTCTGAACATGCTGTACAAAGGAATACACATAATGCTACGTACTCCAAGTTAACCAATTTCCCTGTGATAACTAGACAATAACATGAAGTATGGTGGCTTGAAGCCACTATTGACTTAAGCTTCTTCTCAGTCAGGATGTACTTTCTAGGCCAATGTATCTTAATAATTGACCATTATCTGTTCAATGTTGTGTCTAGTGTGCTCTAATGAAGTTGCAGTTACTGCAGGTATTAGCAAAACAGGGTACTATCAGATAATTTTTAAAAATCAGCATTGAAATTCAGTTAGAGAAAAAGAAAAATTACTGGGCTTTCTGGTAATCATCCTTTATCTTTGAAGGCTTGATTTCCTTTGTTCTAAGGGTTTTCTTCTCTTTTCCTTTCAATGGCAGACTCAGCCACAAAACGTAGGTTGTGGCCAATACCGTGCATGAGGCAGCATGCAGGGGTGCCCATAGCCCCTCAGCAGAGCAGGGCAGGGCCCTTGAGCTGCCAGCAGGTCCCTTCCCTGGGCACCAGCTTGCTTTTGGCCGTGATGGTCAGATGGGTGCAGACACTGTGATGAGGCGCCTCCGCCCTCTCTGCAAGCTTGCATTTGTTTCAGCAGAAATTCACCGAGTCTCAAGGGACTGTGGCCCTGTAACTGATCTGTTCAGGTCAGTGGAAGTCAGGTCAGTGGCAGCAAAGTCAGCCTGCAGCCCTGTCCTGCCTGTCAGACTGCCTCAAAAAAGCCTCAGTTCTACTTCAGTTCCTCCAAAATCCTTCTTGTTCAGGACAGCCTTGCCAAGAGGCTTAGAGATTTTTAACAACTGAATGTCTAAGGCCAGAAAATGCTTCTCCCTAGAGGCAGTCTGCAGAAAGAGTGACAATGTTTCTTTCAGACAGATTGTCAGACTTCTCACCTTAGCTGATATTAATGAGGGAGATCTTGTTTTTCAGAGACTTAATTATGAATTTGCTAATTAAAATGAAGAATGTCTATTTTTGTCTAAACCAGCATGTAAAGAAGATAGCATAATAGAGATTAAGGCCAAATTTGCATGCCTGGTTGCTGAGGCTTGAAGGGAACCTGACCAGGGTGAGAAGAGGAAAGTAAGGGCAGTTGTCCACTGGGGCAGAGCACCACTGAGCCTTCACTAAGGGGTAACACCCTTTTTGCCCTCATCCGTGTTTTCAACTCGCTGTGATCAGGCATGGAAATGCTTCATTTTTTAAAAGTGCCTTCAAATCTGCTGATAGATGTGGATACACATATGGTCAAAGATATGCTTAATGCTCATGCTTTTTCAGAAAAAGGAAGTGTGGCATGTAACTAGAGTGTCTTGGTTTTATTCCAGGAAGTGAAGGTTCATTCGAAATCGGCAACACAACTGGAGCTGTTTCTGTTATAAAAAGCCCAAGTCAGCTCAAAAAAGAAGTGTATGAACTGAAAGTCCAGGTATGTTCTGTCGCCACTTGAAGACTATTGGCCTTAAATGCCATAAGTAGAAATGATCATTTAAAATAGCTCAATTTATAGCTGACTTTACCTGTTTTAGAAACTACTTGCTATATTTGAGCAGAGTGCCAGAGAGTATAAAATAGAAGAAAATGCTTTTGTTCCTTGGGATATTTAGTCTCTCAGATTACTTCTTTCAAATTAAGTTATCTTTCATCTCTGAGTCTAGAGAATCAACATCCTTTACCACAGGTAGATAACTGTTCCTTGTTTTTTTCAGCTTTTATTTCTAAACTGAGGTCTTGCAATCTCAGCATGATGAGATGGGTAACTGTGAAATCTATGATGAGTGATCGGACTGGAGTAGATCGTGCAGTGTCACACCAGTATCCGCTCCTGAAGCTTTTGTCAGCCACACGCTCACACCTGGAACAGCCAGTATCAGTGTGACAGGCTGCACTATTTTAAGCATTTTCTAAAGACCAAGAGCTTAAAAATGTAGAGTTAAATTGTGAATACTGTATCAGTTTTCTTCAGCAAATGCATATTCCAACCATGAGTTTGTCATGGTAAGACAATATTGTCTAAAGGCAGCAATGAGCCTTGCACACTGCCAGAACGAGTGTAGCATCCCCAAGGGCACTTGCTTTCTACTGAGCTCAAGCAGCTTGCTGAATCTGGGAGATCATGGAGTTCCCATTGTCCAAGTTAAACTCAGGCACCATTTATTTCCCTAATTCCTCGGATTTATTGCATTCTGCTCGTGCTTCCCAGATATAGGATTAGTTCTAGTGCCTTTGGTTTTGGACTTTTTCAGCAAAAAAGCATCTTAGAGCTGTTCTGTTACAAAAACACTAGCCAGAGTGACAGTGACAGAAGAAACATTAGGTCCAGTCCAGTGCATCAGGCAGCACGTTGGTCTTGTTGAAACACAGGCAGATTTCATCTTTCAGTTCAGGAAATTGCCAGGTAGGTTTGCTTGTCTGTCCAAACTCTATCCAGTTTAAATTAAGCTAATCTAGACAGCAAACAGAATTATAAATTAGAGACTAAATCTGAAGTTAAAAAAAAAGCAACAACAAAATGTGCCATTTTTCTTCTCCAAATATTTGCCCAAATACCACAAGTACAGTTGTTTTTTTCTAAGAGTTTTCAAGGCTGCTGTAGTCCCTGCAGCAATGTGAAAAGCAACTACCTGAGGTACCATAGCAAATTTAAATATTGTCTTCCTTTTCTATTCTGTCAACACTTCAGAGAAGCAGTTCTCCTGCCTATATTAGATTATCTGTCTTTAAAGAACTGTTTTCACCTAGAGTGAGTTACTAAGCTCACAAAATGCAGAGGATAATTTTTTGACTCGGGCTTTATTGGGACTGGTTTATTACCATAATCTGCTATTCATCATAAAATTCATTGTGAAATTAGCTGAGATTCCTAGAGAAATATAAGGCCGTGAATCTTCTTGCCAGTTAGGGTGTTGGGGTGATTTGTACATGCATATTAGTACCTGAACGTGGAAATTAGGAAAAAGAGTATATGCTTATCGTTCTTCTCTCTCTCCTGCCTGCTGCAGGCATCAGAAGTCAGTCAGGAAGGTGAAGTTTCAGTGTACGCTTTTGCCATGGTGACTATACGAGTGGTCGACCTCAACAACCATCCACCAACATTCTATGGAGAAAATGGTCCCCAGAATAGATTTGAACTGACCATGTACGAACATCCCCCAGAAGGTGAAATCTTGAGGGGACTGAAGATTACAGTCAGTGATTCAGATCAGGTAAATGTAAATTATGTGGACTTTCAGTTTTCCTCCCCTATTTTCCCAAAGACTAGAAAGAGCTATCAAATGGGGAAATGTCATTTTAGGGACTCGACTATTTCACCTTATCCAAGGACGGACAAAGTACTTGTAGGGCCTATTACCACAGAGTTTGGACCCAGCAGTATACTTAGTCTGTCATATACTGTTATGTCAATGAGAAGGGTGGTCCTAAAGCTGCAGTCCAGTTCTTGTGACAACTGAAGTTGAACAGTCTGTATGAGCCACCCATAACTACTGGTTACATTCAGTTGTTGTCAGTGTAATGTCCAAGAATGTACTCCCTTTGGAGATTTACTTAGAATTTCCAATGACTTAGTAACTTCAAGTGCAATTGCTGTCTGTACCTACTCCCTTCTCAGCCCCTGATGAAAACAGTACAGTCCATACTCTTATATTGGTTTTATTACAATATATTGTCCATCTGGCCCTTATGTTACAGCCAAAGTCAGCAATGCATGCTTAGTTAAATCATTCCCACTGGAGTGATGTTTTTAGGTAATCTTAAAAATTTTGCCACAGCCAAGCTAACTCTAACCAGATAAAGGAAAAGGAAAGAAAACTTGATCCATCCCAGCCTGCTAACTAACTGACCTGTGATGCCTGTAGATACAGTGATGGTTCCTATAGGGATCCCTAAGCTAAATACTGCATGAATGGCATCCATCTGAGATACTCTGAGGTTAGGTAGTGAGAAAAGA